CTCTCCTCAGCTCCACCCTCCTTGTGGGTGGGGCAGGGAGCCTGGAACCTCCCCTTTTCCTGGGAACCACCCTGTTCCAGTATCACAAGATGGTGGAGTGGAATGCAGGAATTTAGCATTCTACTTAAATGGTTACTGAACTGACAGGAACTGTCCAAAGCAACTGTTTTGGAAGACAACATTCTAGTTCAAAACTTTAGCATTCAGGGAGAGTTTGATTGAAAAAAAACCTGTGTTTCAGTGCATGTCATTCTTTCCCTCGCAGGAACACCTAGCATCCTTCAGCTCTGGCAGACAATAGTGAAAGGGACTCCCTAAATTCCTGGGACAACTTGCTAGAACCAGGATGAATAAAGAAGACCTTCCTTGTCGTTCAAATATCAGAGCTGTTCTGAGGCTGATTGCTGTCTTTAATTGCTTTCACCACTTTTAAATTCCATTTACGGCAACATCAGAAAGGATAAATACTTAGGAATAAATTCAGCCATCAATATGAAATACTTAAACAACGAAAACTAGAACCCACTGCTGAAAGAGATGGAAGAGGACTAGATAAATGGAAAATGATCCCATGTTTATTGAATATCTTCAGGTTAGGCTGTGATTAACTAGGGTTCTGAGGGCAGGCTTTGATAAGAAATAAACACTCAAGCATTTCTAAATGTTTCCTTTTCAAAAAAAAAGATTTATTTCATTGATTTATGCATATAAAAGCTGGGGTGTAGGCCAGAGATGCAAGAGTGGGGTGAGAGGATTCACCAGAGAGGATGGGGAGCAGAACAGGCAGATCTACTGAAATACACTGCTGAGGGAGACAGGGAGTGTGATGGGAGAGGTTTGCTGCGCCATGTGGGTCAGCTCCCTGGCCTGGGATCGAACTCATGCAGCAGTGGCTGGTGACAGCCTGATAGCCCTGAGACTTTAACCTCTGTGCCATCATGTAGGCCCTGCATTTGTAAAGTTTTCATTTCTCCTTTCCCTAGGGAAAGCTTGAGGGAATTGTTCTGCAATTATTTCTAATGAGAACTTTTTATGGGATTGCTTTTGTGGAGAATCCTATAACTGGCTCTACCTGTAATTCTCAACTCAGGATTATTCCCACTAAGTCTCTAGCCGTTCATGAATTACATTTCAGAGTTTCCTACCCCTGTGCTGGTTCTTGTGTAAATTTCAGCTGGGAGTCTCTGTTCCAGCAAATATCAGCTCCCTGTATTCACCTGTTTCTCTCCAGGCTTCGGGGAAGTAGTTTGCATTGTGTACTCCTCCCTCTTATGTATCTCAGAAGAGTTGATTTTTTAGTCTGTTCAGTTTTTTTACTTATTATTGGGACAGAATAGAAACTTCCAAACACTGAATGCAAAAATGGACACTGAAAGTGACTAAACTACATTTGAAAGTAATTTATCAGTTTGCTAAGACATGTTTTGTGGACTGTTAATCATATAAGCCATACCTCGTCTATAGTAGGTACTAAATTTGTGAGTGACTTAATGAAGTATTTTAAAATACAGAATATCTTATCTTATATATTTTACATGATTCTTACCTTTTGTACAATGTATGCTATCTCCTCTCAGGTGTAGTCCCTATAAATTCCCACGACCAATTCACCCTGCACCATCACCATGGCCCCTTTTTCTTTCCTCCCCTGTTTTGATCTTCTCCCTCCCCTTCCACTGCAGAATAACTCTGACTGATAGTTGCGTGTTAATTTTGTTTTTAATTAATTATAATTATTATTTTTTCGTGGTCCCTTATTTGCTTCCCCCACATTCCTCCTATAAGTGAAACCACTGAGTACTTTACTGTTTCTTTCAGGTTTATTTCACCGAGTGTAATCCCTTCCAGGTCTGTCCATGTTGCTTGGAATGGCATGAATTTATCTTTATTGATTGCTCAATATTATTTCATTGTATATATATACCATCATCACATCTCTGCTCCAGGCTTCCTCAGGTCTCCCTCTGGCTCTCCATCCTACTTCCTTCTTCCTCCAGGCCCCTCTCTTCTCTGCTCAGCTCCACCCTCCTTCTGGGTGGGGCAGGAAACCTGGAACTTCCCCTTTTCCTGGGGATCACCCTGTTACAGTTGAACCAATTTGCATTAGTATGGGAATTTTTAAAAGCTCTGTAAGTCAATTGTTTGTGACTGTTTAGTGTTCTAAGAAGACAGGTGTTTTGGCTTCATTATCTCAGAGTCACTGCATAGGATGTACAGGTTGTGGGCTACTCAGCCTACAGCATTCTTTCCATAAGGTACCACAGTCGTGCACAGTGTCCTGATAAATATGAGTGGCTTCATTTGGAGTTCATGAATCATTGTCTCTGTGACCCACTACAATATTCTAATGCAGGTGGACATGGGTATTTTCATGCGTGCAGATGTACATGTCTTTATGTTTCACTTTTTTTCATCTTCTGTTGCTTATTTATCAGATTACTAAAAGAGCTGGATCCATAACTGAGAGAGAGTCACCCAAAATTTGAGTAAACCTATCCCACAGTAAAAAACACATCACACTAAAAGATATACTTAAGCACAGAATTTTCATTAACATGTAAAAATACTTTGTAAAATAAGATGTCCTCACCTTGTATATTTCATGTATTTTTTATTCATGATTGACCATATCCTTCTCCGCATAGGATAAGCAATTATTTTGAGTACTATAACTTCTAAATAGTGTATTATTCTTTTTGAAAACTTCATTCAATATATTGTTAATTTTTATGAAGTGCAAACACTGTTGTATTCATTAAGTAAAGTCCTGCTTGAAGGTCTACTGCTTATGTTAAGCAAATGGCACAGTGCCCCACACATAGAGGACATTCAACTAAGTTTTCCTTTCTTTTCTTACTCCTTATTTGCAATTGTTATTCAGTGAAATAAGGTCCTAAAAAGAACACAATTATAGCAGTCACAAATTTTAACTTCTTACTAGCTTTTAGAAAAAGGCATTTAAATGTCTATTAGATATATTTTAATTTTTAAAAACTTATATTTAGAGTTCACAATAGTAGTCTGACCCTACATGGATTTTTATAAATATACCTGTCATCTAACTAACTTATTGGAGCCTAAAATTAGAAGATAGAATTATCAGCTGGGTTTTAAATTGTACTTGGAATAAAATACCTGCCAGTTTTTGTATGTGTAATTTCATGTAGCAGAAAAGTAAACTTTCCTAAGGACATTAAGTTCTTATGGACCCCAGTACCCACAGTAAATAAAAACTATGAAAATTGCATCATAATTTTAATAACACAACTTTAATCACACAGTATAGACTATCAATGTTTCATTAACATAGTTTGCTACAAAGCTTATTTAATACCATAGATTTGAATTTTATAAATATGTGAACACATTTAAAGTATCAAAATAAATTAAATTAAATACTTAACAGCCACGTAATCTTTTGTCCATGCCTTCATTATTTGTATAAAGTATTGCATCTTCCTCAAATATCAGGCACATCCATATTCAAAGATTAGCTGCAAAATGCATTCTAAATTAAAATAAGTAACACTTTTCAGTTTCTCTAAGTGTAAATTTATGTAAGCTATTTTCACATATAGGAATATTATAAATCAGCTACAAAATTAATAAAACTGGAGAGCTAAGATAATATATTTAGCTACTTGTTTCTTTGGGATTTAACATAATTATATTTGCCCAATAATGAGATAAGAAAGTTCTTATCATTTAAACCTCTCAACTCTATTGCTTTTTAGTAGTGTTATTGTATTCATTTCTTAGATGTGAAAATGAGGGCTTACAGTGGTCAAAGAACTTGCCCAAAGTCAAAAAGTCGGAAGTTAAACTTTTAACAACTGTAAAGAAACCTGTTAAAGGAAAAACCATAAAACGTAGGGGCAAATGAGACTGGGAGATACAACAGTGGGGTGGTAGCAATTTCAGAGGTCCATTCTTAAGTTACTTATTACCACAGAGCATGGACCAGACTGACTACAGAAGTCATTACTCCAATGCAAATTTGTGTAACTTTGTAAAATTACACATTTCTTTCTAGCACCTGAAGTCATAAAATGAAAAACCTCTACTGGGAATATTTGAGCAGTAAACCAACACACCAAAGATCAATCACATAGTTATATGTATAATCTTGACATCAAGATATTTATGTATATATTATCCATATAAAATACTGATGCACTTGCTTTTACAGTTGTAAGTGGAAATTTTAACTTTAAACAGGACTTTTTCATGATTATTTTTATGATAGTATCAAATTCTACAAATAAAATACCCTTTTACTTTAAAATTGATATCTTCAGTTTAGGCTTCTCCTTATAACACTTTAGGCAAGGATTACTGGTGAACCTTGACTTCAGTATATTAAAGGATATTTATGCTATTACTTCAGTACCAGCATAAGAACTAAGCCTTAAGCTGAGTCAAATATCGGTTAGACTATATTATTATGTTATGCAGAAATAATTAAATAAAGTCATTGCTGCAGTGGGGAAAACAACATAATTTCAACTTTGGAGGAAATCTCACAACTACAATTCACAATTTTTTAAAGTATATTTAAAAAACGCTTCAATAGTTTCAAATGTATTTTCTAAAAATTAATTCTAACCAATAAATCGTATTTTACTCTTTAATTTACATAAAGACAAAAATCTCATTCTTGGACTTAGTGGTAAAACATGTTCACATTTTTTAAAAGTTTTCTTGAGCGTTGTTAGGAAAAAATGAAATATACATAGCTAATTGTAACTACTAACATTTTCAGGAGAAACAGGAAGGACAACTTTTAAGACTGAACTTTAAGTATATTTAGCACCACTTGTATATATATTTTAAAACCTGACATGTTACAGTTATTAAAAATACTTTATCCCGCACAATCTATTCTTCATTTCTTTGTGTAATATAAAAACCTATGCCCAGACCAAAATAAAAATAAGCTTACAAATGTGCATGACAAGCTTCATAAAAAAAGTTAGGCTATATTGCATTTCTTTTAAACATTAAGATACTTCAAAGGTAGAAAAAACTCTGAATTTGGTTAAATGATTGAAGTAAACATACGAGAGGGTCACAAGGATATTTTTGCAAAGGCCCAATACGGGTGTGATCGTTCCCAGGACAATGATTAAACTGAGTCGAACAAAAATGAAGGGGATATCTTGGAGCAGTACACCGACACAATTACTGAGAGGGTTTTGGGGCGTTAGGATAATTCGAAGAAGAGAAATGAAACTGAATATGTACACTGGGTACACCCAGCCAGACTTGTACACAGCAGGATGGCCAGTCACACGCACCATTTCTATGGTGTCCGACCACAGCAGAAAGCTCCCCAGAAAGATCTCAGAGCGGGGGTCCGAGGAAGATGCTGCCCTCAGGACTCCCGAGTCAAAGCAGGGCTCTTGAGGGCCCTCCACGTTCAGAGTAGGCGATTCGGTGTTGGTTCTGCGGGGCTGTGGTATCTGGGTCCTCCTGGCTGGCTGGGGAGGTACAGAGTTTTCTTCATTTCGATGCACCTGTTCTGTCACCGTTTTTATGTTTTGCAAAGTGGCTGTTTGGGTGTCATCTTCATTCCCTGCAACAGAGTGATTTATTTAAATTTAGTGCTTGAAATTTTTTGTGTGCTTTGTTTTATACTAAGTGGATAAATCAGAAAGGCACACTTCTAGGTGGAGTAGTGAAACAAAACAAAGCGTCAGACAAAATTAATAACAAACCCCAGAAATCTGACTATGTGGAGAGTCAAGGCTACCAGAGGGGAAGGGGAAGGGGGAGAGCAAAGTGGGAAAGGGGCGCAGTGGACTAGGGCAGAGGACTATGGGTGATGCCTTGGGCGTGGGCATGCTGTGTTACATGCACGGAGGGTGTACTTCTGCACCTCTAAATAATATATAGTATTGCTAACCAAAGTTGCCTCTATTTTAAAAAGATTAAAATTTTAATTTACATTTAACCTTTAATTGCATTATGTTTAGCTTTTTATTTAACTTTTCAACTTTACTTACATTTAACTATTTAGTTTCTACTTACATTTAAAATTTTGTCTATATTTACTATTTTTACAATTTTATCTGTATATAAAATTTTTTTAAAAAAAAATTGCAGGTTTGAAATTCACACATCAAACTTCAGGTTAGCAGTAGGTGGCATAATGAGAAGAATCCAGAGGCTAAGACAGCTAAGACAGCTCCCATGTCTTTGTTTCCCTGCATGAATCCAATGTCATTTTTTTTAAAAGATTTATTTATTTATGCATACGGAACTGGGGTATAGGTCAGAGGTGCAGGGGTGGTGAGAGGATTCACCAGAGACAGCATACAGCGTGGGGAGCAGAACAGGCAGATCGACGAAGTACACTGTTGAGGGGAGCAGCGGGCGGGTCAGGAGAGGTCTGCCGTGCCATGTGGGTCACCTCCAGGGCAGGGATTGAACTCATACTGAAGTGGCTTTAGCTTCTTCGTGCTGTGCTTTAACGCGCTGCGCCACCAGGGAGGGCCCCCAATGTCATTTTTACCATTTAATAATAATAGCCATTATTGGCTACTGAGCTAGGCATTTTCACATATGTCACTTAAGTTGGAGGGATTATTATCCCATTTTATCAGGATAGAAACTGGAGCCCAAGAAGCATAATGATGCTGAAATTTAAATAAACAGTAAAAGGTAGAGGTGAAACTCACACCTATCGTCATCTGACCCCAATTGACACTCTGTCATCTTTATGGCTACTATTACATAATATATCATGTGCTAACTATAAAACTTCCAAATGTCAAAAAGGCAAGCTAAAAGTTCAATGGTCTGATTTCACCATTTGTAAGAGGTCTACAGTGATCACTAGCCCATATTTCCAACCTTGGTTTTTAGTGCTAAGATCATAAAAGATTTTAATGAAGAATGATATTCTGAATCTAATATTGCAAATCTGTTCCTTCCCCAAGGTGTTTAAACGGTCCCGTGATTGGTTAAACGAAAGCATCATATTTGTGGCCATGAGGCTGTGCCTGGTCATTAATGTCATGCAGGTATGTGTGTTTATGTGCAAGAGAGAGAGAAGAAAGAGAGAGTGAGACAAGGAAGATTGCAAGTACATCCAGACAGATGTTAAGGTTCGGGGATTATCAAGGGATCCTCAAATCTCAGGAAAAACTAACTGTATGGATGGCATGCTTTTTACATAGGAAAGGTATTCCACATTATTTTTCAATCTTTATCTGTTTAAGTATCTTTTTTGTTGCTAAGAATTTATCAGTCCTAAACATGTTTACTCAGTGAACATGCCAAATTGCCATATTACTTGATAAGACAAAATTTAAAGGGAGTCATTAGACTGAATAGTTCTAAAGGTTAAAGCCACAAAGGTAATAAAAATGTGTTGTCTTGTATTGAAATGAAGATATTTATAAATAATGATTAATCATTGTACTACTTTTACCATTTATTATTTAGTGTTTACTACTGTTACTATAAATAGGATTTATTTAATGGATACACCTTGGTTTTCTTTTTATGCAATTATTTAACTGTGAATTAAGTATATTTTAAGCTAAAGGGGGCATACAAATTTTTGATGAAATATTATTTCTGGGTTTGAATCATTCGTAAATAATTGCTAGTGCTCATGACCCTTAGAAACCACTTTCCCAACCTTAGTGTCACAGTACCATGAATGAATACCATTTCAATAATACCCAAATGGAAAAAATTATATACTAGTTACTATTATCTAAATCTTATAAAGGTCAACTCTTTTTAAACTCAGATGCTCACGTCAGTTTTAGCTCTCATTTGACAAAATCAAAAATCAAAAAAGAAAATATTTCTTAAGGTTTGTCATGTCCTAGAGAACTCTCCTTCACCCCTCTTCCTAGATAAGAAAATCCAAATTCCTTTGCCTTACAACACAGTGTATAATTTGAACTTTGGAAGATGATTGCTGCTTCAGCATTGTTTCAAAGCCAGGAAGTGGCAATCTAAGATGTGACACATTAACATTTTTTAAACAGTCAATAGGAGTCTTAATAGCTGAGGGTAAGAGCTGTTCATGTGAGCAGAGTGTTCTAGTGTTAAATTTTGATGAAATAGTGAGGACCCAGTCTATGTGTATTTAATGAAACCAGGTCTGGGGGTGTCCTATCTCTTCACAGTTCAATAAGGATGAGTTTAGATTTGAGGGTACAGAGATTCTGCTCTCCTTTTTCCAAGTCAGAGCATCAGAACTAATAGCTGGAAAGCTTTGTAGGGTTCCCAGCAGACAGGATAAAATTGAAGAAGTCCAGAATCTTTTGGTCATTAGAACTGAGCAAGGTGTTATCTGTGAGCATTATCAATGTTCATATATTGAATACTATTGCTTTGGCTCCGTGATTCGTGTCTCCGCCAACTTTTAATTTTCTCATTTTCACTTGGCTAGTATTCTTTTTGTTATTGTCAGCTGTTAGTGTTCTTTTGGATAAAACCAAGTTTTTATTTGTGCAAAATCCATGAGAGATATAAACACTTCCTGAGAAGTTCACAATGCTCTGTAAAAAGTAAAAATAGCAGCCATTCAGTGCAGTTCCCCACATCTGATACAAGTTGGCAAATAACTGTTCTCAACTGTGCAAGCTAAAATAATTAAGGAAATATAATTTTGATCATAAATAAATATTGAAGAAGATAAATCATACCTACATTACTTTCCTGTCTTCATATATTGAAGTATTTCTATCTCTAACTTTTTCTCTAAAAGTTTTAGATATCTTGCAGGGAAAACAGGAGCATAACAACATAACAAATCAGTAGTGAGGAATTTTCCAGAGTGAGCGTGTAATCCTCTTGTAATGAGAACAGGAAACAAAAGTTATTTATATTTAAAAAGAAAAAGAGGAATAAGAATTACAAGAAAGGGCACCTACTGTTTTAGGGCAGGGAGAAAGACACACCCCTAAGTCCCCAAACTTGCCAGCTCTAAATAGCTTCTGCCATCTGCTGCCTCAAGACAAAACATATCAGATCAAGCCAAGAATGACACTGACACTGAAAATACACTATTTAGACTCCCATGACAGTTATGAGCAGACAAGTAAGAATCTGTACCAAGTTTACACTGGGTGTTGAAACTGAATAGCCAATTACGAAGAAACACTCCCCACACAACCTTTACCTCTCCAGTGACTACACCAACACACACTAAAGGAAAACTTTGTGTCAGGGCTTTGCTAGGAAGGTAAATGTTATCACGAGAGGCTGTCATGGGGTGTGAATTAGACATGGGGAGGAGGGATGTTCACAGAGACCTGAAGAATAAGAATTCTCAAGAAGAATGAATAGGAAGGAGAGTTTGGCGAGAAAAGAAGGAGGTGAGACCTAATATCTATTAAGTGCTTTCTACACAGCAGGCACTGTTCTGAGCCCTTTTAGTCATTAACTCACTTCATCCCTAAAAAAAAGTTCTATGATACACTGTTATTTTCCTTTTAAAGATGAATGAACTGAGGCAGAAGTTCATCAACAATTGTTCATTTAGAGAGAAGGGAACTTCTACCGCAAATCTTAAGCACTAGATCACACTGTCCGAGGCAGATGCAGCTTTTGGAGAGACTCATGGGCCATGATTAACATTTTGGACTTTATTTAATTCCAGAGGAAAGCAACAAGAGTTTAGGGAAGTGGAAGTCAGAGCAGCCAGAGAAAACATGAAAGTATACCAAGAGGCTCTTAAAGCCGCAGAGACAGCTGATGAAAACTGACCTGGTTACTCAATTCACAGCAACCAAAAGACCAAATGAAAGAATTACTCAGTAAAAGTGGGACTACTCTTGACTAACAGCTCCTAAAATCTGCTTTTCCTCAGAAGATAATGATCCAGGGAAAGCAAAACACTAATCATTTAAATATAATATGCTAGGGGAAAACGTGGAAAAGAAGAAAATTAAATCTTGTCAAATTCTTTTTAAAATATTTTAAGCACACAAAGCATTTTTAGTCATGATATTCCTAGAAACTAAGAGAAAAATATATAGTAAATTTAAACATGAACAGGAGCGCAGATTATAAGCATTACTTTGATACTATCCACTTAATAGACACATTGTACTCTATGATGAAACTCAGCACCTCCATAGGTTATGATAATGTCAGATGTTAATATCTGTAAAACATTTAAAATAGCCCACCACAAACAAATGGCCACATGCATATGATATAAAAAGCAGTCACCACAAACAATTTATTATTTTAAATGACTTAGCATACAAAATATCAGAAGGTCAGAAATAGTAAAATGAATTACACTTCAAAGAAATAGAAAAAATGTTGATGAGATTCATATGGAACAACAAAAAACCTCGAATAGCCAAAACCCTCATGTCTAAGAAAAATCAAAAT